CTGTTTCCTATCTAACCAAAATACAGAACACTGGTTCAGTGCATATGTTGTCTGGTTACTTTGCAAAAGTAACTGAGCCATCTAAAGAGTAGAGGACACACTGATTAGAATGGCTTAAGTCCAAAAAGCTGAAAATATTAAATGCTATCAAGAAAGTGGAGCCACAAGAACTCTTGTTTATTGGTAGTAGGATTGCAAAAACGGTACCGACACTTTGAAAATTATCAGTTTCTTACAAAGTCAAACACAGCCTTACATAAGATTCAAGGTACTCATCAAATGAATTGAAAATATGTTCACACAAAAGCCCATACATAAATGTTTATCTATCCTTAACTTGCAAAAATTGGAAGAAATGAGCCGGGGATTTAGCTAAGTGGTTCTGCTGCCTATCTCTCAAACACAAGGTCCTGAGTTCAATCCCCAGTACCAAAAAAAAAAAAAAAATTGGAAAAAATGAAGATGCTCTCTTAAAATGGTGACTGGATAAATTGTGGATTCCATATTGAATACATAACATTTCACTCTCATGTTCATTGCAGCAGTATTTCCGGTACAGTACTTCTTTCAGACATGAAAACAGCCTAAGTGTCTGTCAGTGAATGAAAGGAGAAGGAAAATGTGGTGTATATACACCACATTACATATGTCAAATGTATATGAACTATTTCATATATAATATATATCCCGTATATAACATATAATATGGAATATATATATAATTACCCATGTGAATATCTATGTGAATGGATAAATATCCCCTGCAATGAAATATTATTCTGTGATAAAAGAAAAGAGGCTATCAAGACACAAAAAGGCATGATGTTTACAAATGTTATCACAGAAATACCAAGGATCATAAAACACTATGAAAATTACACACAACAAACTTGACCACCTAGAAAAATAAATCAGTTCCTAGAAATATACAGCTTAACGACTGAATCATGAAGAGATAGAAGAGTCTAAATATAACAAATATGAGTAAAGAGATTGAACCAATAACCAAAAATCTCCCAACAAAAATCCCAGAAGCAGATGGCTTCACTGGTGATTTTACCAAACATTTGAATAACTAGTACTAGTCATTCTTAAATTCTTCCCAAAATTGAAGAGGGAACACTTCTGTCACCAATTAGCTAGTTG